ACCCTTAGTGCCTAAATCAAAGCTACCACCCCTAAGAGAAGGCCCTGAAAGATGCCAGGGGGTTGGTGCTGCAAGGCCTCCTAGTAGGGTCAGACGCCTGAATGATTCCTGTTCGGCCCTGTTCAGGGAACTCCCCACCATCCTAACGTCTACCCACTCAGATTATGGAAATCCAGAAATTTCCTAGGAAACATAATGCTTCTCTAGCTGCTGAAAGCTGAGTCCAGAAGAGCTGGAGAAACCCAGGCCTGCACAACTAAGAAAGGGAAGATGTCTTGACTGAGCCTGTGCCTCTCCTTTCCTTCTTCTGCAACATTCCTGGGGGATAAAATGGAGCAATGGACTTAAATGCCTTGGATTATAGGAGCGGGAAGCCTGGGCATTCTGGAAGTCTCAGATTAGCTTCTTGTCAACTCTGGGCATTTAATGTGAGAGTTCTAAGTGGTTAACAGTCTCCTGATAAGAAAACATACGATCTCTAAATTTAGCTGGAGTTATAATAAAATCATCATTTTTCTAAATCCTTAATCCACAAAAAAGGAGTTTAAATCCCAATAGCATTCTACTCTTAGTGTCCTCAGAAATTTGGGCAGGGTAATTAAGGCCTGGTTATTAAAACAGCAGGCATTCTACTTTCTGTCTGTTCACTTAAGGGAAAAACATGTAATCGCTGTTCATAAGTCAGTGTCTAGGCCTTTTACAGACTAACAAGATTTTCATTCCAAGCAGGACAGCTCAGAGAAGTTCCCAGGAGTGGAATGCTTTTACTGAGAGCTCATGGGAAGGTCCCTGGGTTGGATCCTTAGGCTGCCCTGTCTCCTATAAGGCTGACAACCATCCCAGGAGCAGATGGAATCATCTCAGATGAGGCAACAAGGCTGTGAGATGACAGTGGCTTTGACAAGGTCACATGACTATATTTGGAGGATGTTAAGGTTCAAGTCCAAATCTCTACCCCACATCTCCACCAACCCCTTAAGATCAGGCAGTGCTGAAGGGAACATTCTTCCTTGATCTTTTGCCAATCACAGGATGGAATTGTAAAAAATGGCAGATGTTCTCAATTCTGGCAAATCCTCAGATTCAGCAGTGAGCTTTCACAAAAAGAGATGTGTGGCCCTGGGCAAGTCACACCAATATTCAGCTCTGAGGTCATCATTTGTGCAATTAAGGTAATAACATCCTTACAGTGGGTCCCACGGAGGACTAAAAGAAAGAGTAGATGTAAAAGTGCCTGGTATCTGTAGGTGACTAATAATCATTTCCTGAAGTATTACTTAATAAGCAATAAGTTAATAGCAATATATCTATTGAATGTGTCCCTGGTGTTTGGAGCTGAAATGGCACCATTTTTAATTCTCTCTCCCCAAATTCTGCATAGTTGTTACAAATTTACAAAAACAGCAGAGACTCTAGGAGGGTAAATGATTTGCTCAAAGTTATACTGCAAGTGGTAAGCTGGGATTAACACCCAGGTGTGCTGAATTTAAAGGCCATAGTTTTAAACACAATGCTCCTTCACACTCCAGAAAATGAGGAGGAAGAGACATTTCTTATTGCAAAGGCTAAATGTGATGGCTTGCCTTTTGCTCTCTTGAGCCCTACTCAGACTCCTTTTGGAAAAGTGGATGTTTGTGTAAGCTTCCTACTCTCTCAAGGACAATGTGCTCAGAAAGTTTCATCGATTTCTTTTACTATATAGTGGCAATTTTGCCGGCTCCTCATAACCCTCAAAAACAAGGCTTGCGAGGTCACCAAAGCAACCGGCAGTTTGCTGCTCTTAAATTTCTCTTGTACCCAATTTCTTCATGATGGCCAGAGATGGTCCAGCTCTCTCAGCCAGGGGGTGGCTAGAGGACAGAAATTCAGCAGGGACTGTGCCTCCACTAGCTTTCCATCATGATGTGTTTGCTGGTTTATTTGCACTCTTTCTGAGAAATGTGATGATGTGATGCGAATTTCTCATCAGAAATAACCATTCAAATACCTAGATGAGGAAGAGATGTCTGCAGAGCCCACAAAATAAATGGAGTCATTTCTGCAAGTATCTTGCACTTTTCTTGGGAAAATGTCTCCTGAGACTGAAACTGAGGACTCACACCAAGGTCTCCTGCACACAATTATTTGAAACCGTACAGAAGGATCCCCAAAGTGAGAGAGGAAAGCAGGCCTTCTCCTTAATGTTTCTTTTTACTGGGAAGCAGAGTCTACCATTATTAGCTTTGGACCAATTGCCTTGCCAAGAATGGAGAAGCAAGGGTGTTCTGTACTGTGTGGGTCGGGACAGTGCTGTAGGACTGAAGAAAAAGGCAGATGGGGGCACAACAGGGAATTAGTAGACGGGCTCTAGGTTCTGTCTGGAGCGCCATTCAAGGTGAGGCGTTTAGCACTTTCCAGATCCTCTTGACAAATATTCCCTAAACTAGGAGCTAGTTGTGGAGGATTCAAAATCAAACATCACAATCCCTGCTTTTAAGGAGTTTACAGTTACTGAGGGAGACAAGCCACAGACAGAGTTCCACTGTACAATTTAGGAGAGTCACAGCACTTAAACATCTACTCCGGGCCAGGCATCTGCAACATGATGGAGATTCAATCATCATGAAGCTTGGGGTCTAATGCTGCATTCTAATGTGGAGGATACTGTGGAGACATGGTAGAGGCATCTATCTACATTGAAGAAATCTTGAAAGGATACATAGAGGAGATGGCAGGAGGGAAGTTGATGGAACAGAGATGCCATGTATAAGAGACAGCATGATAAAACGCAGAGTGGCATGAAACATCGTATCTGGGACACCGTTAGCTTCTTACAGCACAGTGACTCTCAGACGACACTCTGACAGGAAGTCTTCCTTTCCCTTGTTCCAGTAGAGGTTTTTTCCCCTTAGGATTGAATTGGGGTCTTTGGACCATGGTCTATAGTAGGGCTCTATAATCTCACCTCCAGGGGCTCATAGCTCAACTCTTAGAGGCTGATACTGGGTGTATTTTCCTTTGTAAGTTAGGATGCTCTCATCCAAACAGCCTCCAATTTCAGATTCCTGGGGATGAGTCTCAGCTGTGAGATACAACCTCTGCTCCTGGCATGATCTTAGCAATCCCTGTTTAAGGCAGCTGCTTAATGTGGGTTTCTGAGCTAAATCCCTATCACACAGTTACTTAGAACATGGCAGGGATGTGTTACAAGCGGTGTTCTCCCCTTCCTCATCAGAGAACAATACCAATCAGGGCCCCGCTATATGCTGGGTTTGCATTGTCACACTTGGCCCTCATCCCAGCTCTGCAAAACCTGCACTAATATCCCTGTTAGTCTGAGGAGGTACTTGCAGCTTTGAGGTGTTCAGAACTTTCTCATAAACTTCCTGGCTTTGCAGCCAAACCAGAATCCTTGCTGCTTCTACTCCAAGTAGAGCACATCCGTCCTTGGCTGTTAGCCTCAGCTCACATGTGAACACCCCATCCAAAGACACTCTGTCAACCTCCTCCTGATAGGACAGCACAAGCTTATTTATTACCTACCTCTTGACTTCACTGCCGCTCCAAGAAGGGTGTGGCACATAGAAACTCCAAATAAATGACTGCTCAGGGAAGAAAGCTTCCTCACTGGTCCCAAGTCCAGCTTTCCGCATGTATCACTTTGATGGTGATCAGTTGGTCACTAGGGAGTCTTGTGGAGCCCCCTGGTGGCTGCAGACTGATAAAAAGTCTCATAAATAAAGGACTTCTGAGGTTTTCAAGGGGAGAGCAAGCAATTTCATAGGTTTTCATTTCTACTTGGCAAAAGGACACCATCTAGCAATGGGCTATGTGACAAACATTTGGAATTCACCAACTCACTGCACTTGTAACTCACGTTCCTTGATGACTCCTCATTCTTCTGCACTCAAATCTAGCTGAGGATGGTTGCACAGCTTCTCAGACCCGTGCACTCGCAATACAGCTCGGTGGCTGTTGTCAACAGGCGTGGATTACCAGCCTCAGGAGTGTCGCCTTGAATTGGCAGCACTGACTTTCAACGCTGCTATTATGTATCAGTCAATTCCCCTGTCTGTACTCAGTTTTCCCTGATTGCTCTGTTCTTCTGTGGTGCCATTTTGATGGTGATTTTGCTTCTCTCTAATGCATTATCATCTCATTATTTTTTCACTGAAGAGCAATGATAAGATTATCAGCCAGACTTGAGTCATGGTTTTGAATATTTGAGCACGCTTGCACCCACCTTTGTAACCTCACACAATCCTTGAAGGACTATGCACCCTTTTGTTTTGAACTAAGACACATATGTTCCTAAAACATTGTCATACGGGAGGAGACAACACTCTAAGTGACACATGTAAAGGGGGAAAAAGGGGAGCATTAGTAATCATCTACAAATTCTGCAGTAAAGATGCCACTTGACCTTGAATAGGCCTATGTTTGTTGGTGAACATGGGCCCATCCACACCTGCCGTCCCACTTTCCATCCCTTTCAGACTCTCCTCCTGCTACTTTCCAGTGACACACCAGCTGCAAGTGTTTCTCCACCAGTGTTTCTCCACTGGCTTCCACTAGCAAACCTCAGATCTCTTCAAGGTCAAATGCCATGTTCATTGTAACACTTGTGTAAAGCTGCACTAATGTTTTCCTTTCTACCTTTTGTATGCATCAGTTGTGATGCTTTTGAGTGTTGTAACCCACTCTATTTTCCCCATAATACTCAGTGAACTGAGAAGCTTGTAGGTGTCTAAGGTATATATTTATGTCTAAGGTATATTATTGCTTTGTATAGTCTTACATGACTCAGTTCAGCTGCATATAGTATTTTTTTGCATTCACTTTGTATTTCTGGGGGATGGTGAAATCATTCATCCTGTAAATGTAAAATTTCCATTATCCTCAAACTGTTCCATAATATATTTGCTGAAACAAATGATTTATTAGAACAAATTCACATTTTCAAAACAAGTATTCTAGCAGGACTGACTGTAGGTGATTTAATCTTTTCCTTGTTTATTCAGATTGGACCAAAAGGATTGAGTATCAGCCTGGCTCAGGGAGCATGCCCTTGTTCCCCAGCATTCACTTGGAGACATGTGATGGAGCCGTGTCCTCCCTTCAGGTCACTGCAGAGCTGCAGACCAATTACATCGGCAAGGGCTGTGACCGTGAGACCTACTCGGAGAAATCCCTCCAGAAATTATGTGGTAGGCTTTTCTCTATGCAAATTTGTTCAATGGCTTTCAAGTGATATATGCAAGTGGAGCTTATCTTATTATGCTGAACAAAATCAGCCTTCCCTGCATTCGTCAGCCCTCCTGGAAGGATATTTGCAGAAGAGTCAGAAGACCCAGATTTTGGGCTTAAACACAGCTGAATCAAAGTCTGTTTGCCAGTCATGTGGCCTTAGGCAAGGAACATGACAGAACTTCCATTCTTCACTGGTAAGACAGGGACTAAATGGCTCAGTGCCTTTAAAAGTTCCTGGCACAAAGCCAAGTGACACACAAGAGCCTTCTACCATGCTAGTTAATAGACCTGCCCACAGTCATCATGAAGAGCAGCATCAGGCACTTGGGGGGTTATCTCATCTCCGCCATGCAGCTACATCATTTTCAAGGCCCAGGCAAATTAAATGTGAGTCCCTTGTTCATAAATGATTAAGAATTTTAATAAAGCAAGAGCAAAGCAATAAACTGAGTGCCTGCAACTAAACAGCCCCTCAGGTCACAGGTCTATGAAGCTGAGCCTAGCTGTCCATAGAAGAGGCGTTTCGAGTAGCAGGACATGGGTGAATGAAGATACACTCAGAGTTGTTGTCAGTGGGCTGAGAGGTGGAAACAGGCCAGGAATCATTAATGGAGAGGTAGAATGGGCTGAAAGAAAGAAGACAGGGCAGGAATTATGAATAGGAAACCAAGCTGATAGAAAGGTGCAATGGAGGGTACAGGGGAAGTAGAGGAAGTCTGGTTTTGTTGAGCACCCATTGTGTGTATCCTATGAGACTTTAAAAAAAAAATACATTTTTGTGTGTGTATGATGTATGTGTGCTCATGTTGTGCAATGCCCAAGGAGGTCAGAAGAGGGCATCAGATTCCCTGAAACTGGAGTTATACATGGCTGTTAGCTGCCATGTGGGTGCTGCGAAACAAGCCTGTTCTTCTGCTAGGGCAGCCAGTGCTCTTAACCACCTAGCCATCGCTCCAGCCCCTCCTATGAGACTCTTCCCATGCACAGTTTCATTTAGTTCCCCATCTTCACTGTAAGGAGAATTTTATTCAGTCAGCTTTAGAGATGGAAACTTTGGGGCTCAGAATGTGAAAACTACTGGCTCAAGTTCAAACAGAAAGTGTCAGTGTGTGCTGGATAACTTTAGTGTCAACTTGACACACCTGGGTTGAGGGGCCCTCAACTGGGGAATTGCCTCCATTGGACTAGCCTGTGGCCATGTCTGTGGGTATCTTCTTGATTATTGAGTGATGCGGGAGGGCCCAATCCACTGTGGGTAGGGGAGCAAGCCAGTAAGCACCATTCCTCTATGGTCTGTGCTTCAGCTTCTGCCTCCAGGTTCCTGCCCTGAGTTCCTACCTTGGGCTCCCTGATGAACTGTGACCTGGGAGATGTAAGCCAAATAAATCCTTTCCTCCCCATGTTGGTAGTGGTTAGAGTGTTTTGTCACAGCAGTGGAGAAACAAACTAGGACACAGGGCTAGCATTTGAAGGCAAGCTTACCTGAAAGGTAAGATTCATCAAACTCAGCCAGGCTCTAAGAGGTGGGGCAGGTCCCACATGCTCTGTAAGCTCATGTGAGGTGGGGCAGGTCCCACATGCTCTGTAAGCTCATGATGAGCTCGAGGGCGTCTTCATCCCACCCAGGCATGCAGCACGCCAGTCTCTTGTTCTCTGTGACAATATCCAGGAACTCACATATGACTCTCTAGCATTACCATGAGCTTAGTAAATGACTTCCTCCTATATTGGGTCTGTGTTTGGCAGTAACTACACCTCAGTATACAGTTTAGCCTGCCATCTCCATGAGACCCACCATACTATCTGTTATGGTTGGGGCATTTTTCACTGGGGTACATATACACTCATGTTTGATCTTGCCCAAAGGACCAAATGAAAATTTCAAAACCAAAATCAACCCTGCTTAAGTGCTACCATTTTCTGTCCACCATCCCACCAGACTGGCAGGGAAGGTCTATGGGAATACATACCCTTCTGGAACAATGCAGTAGAATGGGGGAAACAATATTTCAAAAACTTCTTTCAGAACCAGATATATGTGACTTGCAATATTCAGAAACTGCTTTAAGTCCTCCCCTTCCCTGTAGTTAGTTCACAGAAGCCCTGTAAGACCACATCTTACTTGGAATGACTATTCCTTTTCATTCTCTGCATACCTGGAATGTCAGGCAACTCCACCCTGTGCCACTGTGGGTTACAGTCATTTCCAGAGCTGCTTTGGGTTGGAAGGAAATGAATCAACTCGTGAAAGATCAGAGGGCCCATAGGGCACATGCTTGTGACTTGATTTTGAACTCTGGGGAGAGATGGCAGTTGCCGAGAGTGAGAAGAAAGTTCTGAGGGAACAAACGGCAGGGCGAAGTTGGAGGGGCTGTGCTAACAGCTCACTTTGCCTGGGCTGCCAGCCTCCTGGACCAACTCAGCTAGGAAATAGGAAGTCAGTTTCCCCCAGGTGTTCTTCATCTGATGCTGGGACCGTTGAATGAAAGAAGGCTGGCTTCTCACTGGCCACTTTTCAGACAGCACTTCCCACTGCTCTTATGGGAACCCTGCCCAGTAACCTTGGTGGCCGGGTGAGACCTACCTCATGTCGGAAGCCTGACTAGATTTTGCCTTGGGGTAGAGCAGAGCAAAACATGGCAGAAAGTTGTGTTTCCCAACTAGAGAGTTGCTATGACACACCTCAGCATTCATGCACTTTCATCCTACAGATCTTTATGGATTTCGGAGGGAAACAGGGAGACCAGTTAGGATGCAATTACCATAGTCTAAGCAATAGATGATGAGTTCTGAACCGGGGGAGTGGCAGTAGGGATGACTTTCATGCAGAGTCAACAGGCAAAGTCAGCAAGATTCAATGATTGATTAGCTGCTGGGAAGACAAGAGAAGGAATGTAAGGCACCAATGTGTCTAACTGGATGAGGGGCCACCACCCTAACCAGGAATCCAGGAGCAAGGACAGATTCATGGGACAGTGCTGGCGGTCACTTGTAGAGCAGCACATTAGCTAGCCTCTCTGTTCTGAAGATCCGCTCCACCTTGCAGATCCATCACGTGGCTCCTTTCATGCAGATGTTCTGCCTTCCATCTGGTTTCTGGCAGGTTTCTTCTCACCCCTAGGTCTTTGCTCATGTTTCCCACCCACTCTTTGCTCCCTCCCAAGCTCCACCCTTCAGTCACTACTCACCCTGCCCCCTTGCAGAGCAGAGTTGGTTCTGTGTTGCTTCCATGGAGCTCTGCAGCATCCTCTGTGATGCTGTTTTTTGACAGTGGCCATGCCAGGCCTGCTTCCCAAGAGGCTCACTGTGGGAGTCTGACCATTGTCTACCTGCTTCCCCCTGTGTGTCACTCCACAGGGAGCAGTGAAAGAATCTTGTTTAAGAGGAAGGAGGTGTCAGGCCTAGCGTTGGGAAGTCCCTGCACAGATGTGGCAGCACTGGCAGTGGGCCTGGAGAAACACTGATGCCAGGCATTTTGGTTCCTGAGATTCATACATGAATACACTTCCATTCTACCTTAGACAAATGCAATGGAGGCCCCTGAACCTGTGTCCCCTCCAGCTTGTGTACCAGATAAAGCCGAAGTTGGTCCCATCTCCCTGGCTTCCCATAAAGTCAGGCTTCTGGGAGAAGGTAGCTGACTAGCACCTTTTCCAACTTCAGGGTTGCAGGTGAAAGTCATGTGTTGAGGATGAAATGCAAGAAGAAGCTCTCAGTGAGACCTCTCGGCCAAATCAAATTCAACATTACAACAACCCAAGAGAAAGCCATCTTCCCCGACCTTATGCCACTACACATTATATGAAATAGAAAAGTATTCTGTGACCTATATGCCCTTTGTAACACAGAGGTCAGAGCTGTTCCTCTGGAGGAACACAGGTCTCCTGGAAGCTCACCAGTACCTCCTGAACATAATGCCAGGGGCAGCTGATTTGTTTGTAAGTCAAGAGCTCCCAGGATTGAGCTGTTGAAAGAAAGGCCATAGTGTACAAGCATGCTATTAAAATCAAGTGCTTCCCAAGCCAGAGCAGGACAGATGACCTGACCCTAAGTTGTTCTCCAGATTTATATGCTGGTAAGCCAGGGGATTTTAATAGAAGAATCATTCATTCATTCATACATGCATCCATGTATTTGTTACTCCAACAATTTTTGTTTGATTTTTGAGACAGGGTCTCCTTATAATCCTAGCTGGCCTAGAACTCATTATGTAGACCAGGCTGTCCTCAATTTCATAGAGATCTGCCACCTCTGTCTCTGAAGTGCTGGGATTAAAGGAGTGTGCCACCACACGTGACCCCAACAAATATTTTTTGTCTGTATAAATGCTGTACCAGAATAATCATTAGAAGTACTTTACTCATAATATGAAAACACATTATTCAGTTTCCTGGGAAAATAGACATGTTAAAAAGCAGCTACAATGCCATTTTTAGAATATATGAAAGCTACAGTTCTCTATGATATATTGAAGCTTTGGTCTAAGAATCACTATCACAGGCATTGAAGGCTTCAGAATAGCACAAATCCAGGAAGCTGTTAGGGGGAACTAGGATTCCCAGGGTTGAGAGCATCAGCCCCTTAGCTGATTGTCTATGTTTCAGTCTCAAAGAACCGAACAGGGTTAGGACCAGATTAAGTTACTAATCGGATTGGCTATCAGGATAGAGTGATACACACTGACTCATGCATTGCTACGTGAGCAGCAGGTCTCTCCCTGGATATGCTTATTCCCTGGAGGTCACTTAACCAATTGCCGTACCACTTGCTTTTCTGTTAAGGAGAAGGATTTTGCCTGCAGTGGCCTTGCCCAAGATGATTAGGTGTCTACTGCCCTGCCCCAGGAGTCTGGCTGACTACCAGTCCAGCTTGCTTCATCCAGAAATCCAGCTTTCTAAGTCTTTGGGGGAAGCCCCTTTTGTACAGGGTTCTAGTGGGAGGGTTATATCCTGACTGTATGTGGAACAAGTGTGAGCTCCTGAAATGATCTCAAGTTCTACATGCCTGGACCTCGGGTATATAGATGGAGAAATGGGAGCTGCAGATACCGAATCAATTGTTTCTATACGTTATCAGCCAGGATGAGCAACCAGGTTGTGCTGCAGTAACAATTGACTTTGAAATCTCATTGGCTAACATAACAAAGGTGTATCACTCCTACCACACGTCCTTCTTGGGTTGGACAAGATCCAGGCTAATGGAGCAGCCTATATCTAAAACATTACTCATATCAGGAGAGATGGAAAAGACACATGGTAAACTACGAACTATCACTTAGGACTTCTTCCCTGATGTGACACACGACACTTACATTTCCATTTCTCTGGTCAGAATGAAATATGTGGTTAAGTTGATATCATTGGTCATAGAAGCATGTGGTGCACACATGCATTCATCTCTGGCTTCTATATACTGAATTGCTCCACCCACTTAGCTGCTCTTCCTAGAAAGTAAAAGACTTACCCTAAAAAAAGATCTAAAGGTAGGGTGATTTCCATTTGATTCACTGTTATTTTCTCTTGACAGTACCTAACGTAGCTTGGACATTGCATAAACGTTTATTAAAACGATATGGAGTTGATGTTAGGCATCTGTTTTTGCTCACCATGTGTCTTTTCCATGCAGAGAATACTGCAGAATGAGCCTTAATCTTTGATAACATCAGTTCTTCCCCTGAGACCCTCCCATTTATCTCTATCCTCTTGAGCTCCATTCCCATCATTCTTGCCAGAGTCCTACTCTGGAATGCTAGAAGACACTGCCTACCCATCCCAAGGCCACCCAGAGCAGAACACAGACCTGTAGGTTAGACCGGGTCTAACCATGCCCCGTTAGACCTCTTATGTAGTCGTGTATCCAGAAATCTTCATTGTCCTGAATCTCCACTTGCTGCTCAGAGCAGCTTCCCTACCCCAGTAGAGCCCAGGGACTGAAAATCAGACCTCATTGCTGTTTGAAACCCATGGCTCTGATGCTGCAGCTGCTCGTGCACCAGAAGAGCATGAATTCTCAGCATCTGGTGGCTCCAGGGACTGTCGCAGAGGATTCCAAAGGAGCAACTTAAGCACACTCTGATGTGCAGGTGATGCTACACCATCTCAGCAAGTGACATATCCTGTTTACCCACTGCCTGCCCATGGGATCCTTTGGGGAGAAGAGAGCAAAGAATTTTCTTTCTCAGTTGGTTTAAATTTATCAAGAAATAAATTCAATTTGTTAAGTCCAAGAAAGCCTGCACCATCTGGTTAAATGCAACTTCATGATTTCCAGCAGGCAACATCTGCAGTACAAGAATGGCAACTTAGGGGACCCCCCACACACACACACAGGGAAGACACTGGAGCCCCATATTGCTGGATGCCCTTGCCAGGGAAATGTGTCCTCAGTGTGCCCCTCTGGGAGTGGTTACCTATATGGAGAAAGGAGCTTTCATGGGACTTTGGTGGGCTTGACAGATAGAACATCTGGATGTCAGACCTATAACTGTCTCTGCCAGCTGAGTGGCTGTGTATTCCTGGTCTAGTAATTTCCTTCCCTGCTCTCATTTTCCATGTTTGCCAAATACACATGGAATTACAGAATCTTGTTCCAATTCACTGAGGAGGCTCAATATGCAGCCTGGGCTTTGGAACTGGTTATACCTCTGGGCTCCCTCAGCCTGGGGGCTCTGACCTGTTAACTGGAATCTTACCAATGTTCACCACACAGACAAGGAACAAAGGGACATGTGAGGGAGCTGACCAACTCAGGACTGGCATCCACTCAGTGCCCACTACAAAGTTCACAGGGAATAATGCAAAACTATAAAAAATAAAGTTCTAGGAGCTGGAGAGATGGCTTAATGGTTAAGAGCACTGACCTTCCAGAGAACCTGGGTTTGGGTCCCAGCACCCACATGGTAGCTAACAACCTTCTGTAACTCCACTTCCAGTGGCTCTAACATCCTCTTCTGGCCCCTGGAGGCATTGCACCCACATGGTGTACTTATATACATGCAGGCAAACCACTCATAGGCATAAAATAATAATAATGAATAGGATATTTTTAAACTATAAAAATAAAGTTCTATAAATTCCAGCTATGTCTCTAGAATGTTCCTTTCCAGGGCTGGGTGACTCTAGCTATTTTGCCTCTCAACCTCTTCCCACACCTCTTTCCTTGCTCTATGCTAGTCCTTTCTCTACTTCTCTTCAAACCGCTTCTGGGGGAAATTTTTCATTCAACTCCTTCATGAGGAGTCCTCATATGATGAGGTTTTCAGCTCTGCCAAGTCTCATCCCAGGTCCCCTCTGTGACACCCTGACTGCTCTATTGATGGCAGAACAGGCCTCTTAAGACACAACATGTGCACCTCTGCACTATTCTTGGCTAAACTCTGTTGGCTCTTCAGGGGCCCTAAATAACCAGTCTGAATCTCTATGGCCACCCCAAGTTTCAATAACCAAGGGTATATGACCCAGTCACTGACTGACTGTCTTCCTACAGGATCAACTCTGGTATCAGACCCAATGATGATGTGATTCTGTGGATGATAGAAAAATGACATTTTCAAAGTGCTATGAATCCCCCCGTCCCCAGTCACCCACTAATCTCACCCAGCTGCTACCTTGACTGATTGTCCTTCTTTCCAATACCTGTGGAGGATGCTGCCCAAGGAGGGCAGGTTAGTGTGAGCTAGTTTTTCAGATAAGTACTATCAATCAAGGAGAGCATCATGAACTGAGAATAATGGGTATGATAAGAGCTGTGGGACATGGACAAGAGGCTGGATGGGTACCTGAACATTGGACAAATTCCCAGAGTGCTCTCTCCCTGCCTCGCTCCATCCCTCCCTCTCTTCCTCCCTCTCTTCCTTCCTTTCTTCTCTCCGTTCACTCTCTCTTTCCTTTTGTTTTCTCTCTTTTTTTCTTTTTGGTATGTGTATGTTGTGCTATGTGCATGTGTGATATAGGTATTTGTTAGCATAAATATGTGGATGCGCATGTACACATACATGAAGGAGGGAGCCAGAAATAAACACTAGGTGTCTCCCTTATCTCCCTCCACCTTTATCTTTTGAGACAGGATTTCTCACTGATCCTGAAGCTCAGTGATTTGGCTAGCCAACTGACTGGTCAGTGAGCTTCAGGGATCTGTCTACGTCTACTCTCCCTACAGTGACAGGCACACGCCATCATGCCTGGCTTTTTATGTGAGTTCTGTAGATCCAACTTCAGGTCCTCATGCTTGTGCAGCAGACACTTTACCCACTGAGCCATCTCCCCATCCGGAGCATCTTATGGGAACACTGAAGAAGAGGAAGGGCAGTAATAAATAGTAACTGAGGTGCCTACTATGTGTCAGGTGCAGTGAGTGAAAGGTGAAATCCCCAGGAAATACCCATGTGAATCATGCTGTCAATTCTGTCCACACTTCCCCCAGAGAAGTGTGGATACTTGCATCCCCACTTTCCCAAACATGGCAGTTCTAGAGGCCGTACTCAGGATCAGCCTCTTGCAGTGCTAAGCAGAGCTTCTAGGATCAAAGGAATTGTATTTTTTTCCAGTAACATAGTCTTCCCCTCCAAGTCAATGAGTACAAGGGAAGCTGGGCTAAACATTTAAAGAAATGTATTGTTTTCCATTACAGCACTTTCCTGATGAGTGTCAAGGTCATTTCCACTGTAGGAGACTTTTTGTGATAGCTGACCTTGAAGCCCAAACCCTAAATGAGTTGCTGCTATACAGAAGTCCAAAAGCCAGTGACCACGACAAGTATCAATAATACAAACACCCTACCTTCCATTAGAATCATCAGCATTCACAATGGAAGGCAGCTATGTCACCCTTATGTCATCAACACAGCATTTACAATGAACTGGTAGGTGCCCTGCCAGGACACAGCCCCTCTATCCCTGGCACACCCTATGCACGCTCTATACTTGAACATGGCAAGAAGTACCTGGCTCTTATTCTTTCCTGAGAAGCTAAGTCCTCCTTGTATGGAGCAGAAAGATGTAGTGCCTCTCTAGAGAGTGAGGAGGGGTCTGAGTGTCCTCCCAGCAGAGCAGGTGCAGTCTACTCTGCCAAGTCTCTGTTCCCTCTCCCCTCAGCCCACCCTCCACAAAGCTACCTGTGAGTCTCCTAAAATGCTAATCTATACCGTATAGTCTCATAGCTTTAGGATAAGTCCTCTGCTCTAGCCTGGAATAATAACCAAGGCAGAAATTACAATAATGTTGATAAATTTAGAGCTAATACTTAGTAAGCACTCACAATGTGGTGAACATGCACCTACAAGCTCGAATGCATTATCTCATTCAGTCCCCACACACACCGGGGAAAGGAAATATAGTCAGAGAGGTGTAGTGACTTACTTCCAGTCAGAGCTCCCAGTGCATCCTGTCGGGTGTCAGATTTGAGTGATGCTACTTTCAACCACTCTACCACTTGGCTTCAAAAATTGGTTTAGGAAAAAATGTGGTATGTATAAAGTGGCTCACACTCCTCATGGGATCAGGAACTAGAACTTTCCTCAGTCACAGCCCTGACCACACCGCATCTCTAAGTACACCAGAATTGAATCAAAGGCTAGGATGGTATTTGGCTTTTCTCCAGGGTCCCTTAGCTCAAAGCTAGGCACAGACCTCACCAAGTATATTAACTCCATTCTGACACAGGAATAGACAGCAGAAGGTAAGGACACCTTCCACCCTGAGCAATGACCCCATCGTGCTTTCATCCCCTTCCCCTGCAGGAGCCTCCTCTGGCATCATCGACCTGTTACCATCCCCTAGTGCAGCTACCAACTGGACTGCAGGACTGTTGGTGGACAACAGCGAGATGATCTTCAGGTTCGATGGCAGGCAGGGTGCCAAGATCCCTGATGGAATTGTGCCCAAGAATCTGACGGACCAGTTTACCATCACCATGTGGATGAAACATGGCCCCAGCCCCGGCGTGAGAGCTGAAAAGGAAACTATCCTTTGCAACTCAGATAAAACTGGTAAGTCTTCAGCCCATTCCAGGGCTACTGGCAGAGAGGACACAGGGCGCACAGAAGGAAAGGCATGATAGGGCCCAGAGAATATATTCTGCTCTCTGGTTTTCCAACTGTTGATTTTCTAGGGTCTTGGTAAAGCAGAAACAGAAATGATCAGAAAATAGAGGTGCAAACAAAGAAAATGCAAATTTTGAAATCAATGGTCTTCCAGCTGAGTTCCTTAGAACTCTGGTATTTTCTGAATTACCTTGGGCTACTGTAGGTGAGGTGGAGATGAAGGAGGATTCTTCCTTACTGCAACAGAGAACCCAGCATTTACTATATTGTATAAATATTCCTGAAAGCCTTCTTTGGAATAAAAGGATTCTGTCAACTTAAAGCAGTACTTTGAAAATTGCTACCGTCAGTGATAGTAACAGCTAACAGGTGCTACATATTCCTTGTGTGCTAAGCCCACACAAGGCAGCTCACAGCTTGGTGGTTAGACACCCCACACTGACAGATGTGTGACCTTCTGTGGCATCTCCCTCAGAAGGTGTTTATGCAGATTAACTGACTAAAATATACATGAGGCACTCAGAAGAATGCTGGAGATACAGAATGTAAGATTGATATTACCTATTACTTTTCTAAACCTTTACAAGGAATTTTATGACCATATTATTGTGATGCCCATTTAAGGATAAGGAAACATCCACTGAAAAGTTAAACAACTTGTCCCAAGTAGTTACACAGCCAGTTAACACCAGAGTTGGAATGTCCAAACCCTATGCTCTTGTCATGCCCCCACACACATATCAGGAGATCTTTTGTAAATTTACAATTCACAATTCTATCTTTAATTATGATTTCACAGTTTCCCATTTCACATATACAAAATAGCAGCAGTTATACAGAAGGAAGTCAATGCACTCAGCTCCTGCTGGGAGACAGCTGAAATTCACACCTCAACTGGGCTGCCATTTAAGGATTACCTTTAAGGAGCTACTATTCTCTCTGAGCCTCAGTTTCCTCATTCACCAAGTGAAAGAAACAGGCATGAAATAAACCATGAAATAGTTTAGTAAGCAGATATGGAATCAGTGCTCCATTAGTTCACCTGGTATTGCGATCGCTATTGCTGCTGTTATTATGACTGCGTCTGGTGCTATTCCACTCTATGCCACTACAAGAACCTCCACATTTTCCAGTGCAATGGGTCTCTGGAGTCTGTGTTAGCACATTTTGTTCTAGATGTGGACACGGAGCCAGAGTTGACTGGCTTTCTCCTAGCCACAAGACAAGTCTATGTAGGAAGAGTCAGTGCCAACAATAGCTTTTCTCTGGCAACGTCATGCAGGAAGGATGCCCCATACCTGTTTGAGGTGACACTGAACTCAGGGCTGAGCTTCGAGACCTGGCCCTAGTAGCACCTCACGGCATCTCCTATTGTGGTTCTGCAGCCAAAGTCACACTGAGACAATAGCTTAGGATGGTACAGAGGCAAGGAGCTGAGCTAGGTCCAACAACCACACATGTGGAGCCTTCCTTTCTCAGGTGTGTGGCAAGCAGTCCTGGGGGGCAGAGCAAGCAGACACAGTATTCCTGCCTACTGAAGCCAAGTGGAACAGAGAAGCTAGAGTAACTGGCCCAAGACAACACAGCTAACCACGGAGAATAGCAGGTGTAAGTCTAGGACCACTTACTGCACATTCTAGAGACAGACTACCACAACAGAGGCACCAAAATTCTTGTTAGAGTAAACCAGCACACCTGGAAAGTGTGTAGATGCCAGTCCCACCCTATGCCCACAGGGGAGCTCTAATGGCCAGCCATGGCTAAAGTCTGCACCCGCCAATGATGCCTCATCTTCACTGTGGCTCACCAGCAGGAGGCTGGGTTTTTCAGACCAGCAAATACCTGTGCCTGTGCTCTGCCCCTGCAGAAAGTCACACCCTACAGTTAGCTTAAGATTGGTACAGAGGGCCACTGAGATGACTCGGTGAGTAAGGCAAGCCTGAAAAACTGATTTCAATCCCACAGACCCATATGGTGGAAGGAGAGAACCAATTCTTGAAAATTGTCTTCTGACCCCTGCAGGTATACAGTAGCAATCTCATCCCATGCACATATACAGTCAGACAGATAGACAGACAGACAGACAGACACACACACACACACACACACACACACACACACACACATTAAATAAATGTTTAAAAAAGTGAAGATTGACACAGAGGTAGGAAGTTTTTAACTTCACTCACTGCAGAATATACTATAAATACATCTTTATCTTAAAACAAAAATATTAAGAATTAATTAAGACATGATTAGGCCTTTTTTATAGCAAAAGTTTTTTGTTTTTTTTTTATTTTTTATTTTTTGTCTTTTTGAGACGGGGTCTCCCTGTAGCACCAGCTGTCCTAAAACTCAATATGTAGACCAGGCTGGCTTTGAACTCACAGAGATCCGCCTGCCTCTGCCTCCCAAGTGCTGGGACTACAGACGTCCACCACCACACCTGGCTTATAGCAAAAGTTTTTTACAGTAGAAAAAACATGAAAAGCACAGGAAAGTATCAAAACATACAAACTACCTCAAATCTAAGCACTTGGGGAAATATCTGATAGCAATTTATACATCTCATTAAAATGTTCGTTTAATTTCTATGAATACGTAGAATACTCTTACCATTTTAATCTATTTTTATAATATATGTGACATTATTTTTTCATTTACATAACTATTCCGAGGTCATTTCTCTGTGTAATTCGTTTTGGAGGAGGTATTTGAGATAGGATCTCAAAAAGCCCACACTGGCCTTGAATTCCTGATCTTCTTGCCTCCACCTCCAAAGTGCTGGGATTACAGGCATGTACCACCATTCCTGACTGATAAAATAGTCTTTAAACAAAATTGCATGCCAGTTTAAAACTGCTATGTGGATTTATTAATCCTTTATTTAATGGCTTCTTTTGTTGGCCAGACTGTCTCCTTTTAAAAGCAAATAAAATAATGCTGTTTTCAGCATTCTAGTATATAACTTTTTACACATTTTGATTATTCTCAGACTAAAAGTTGAATCACTAACTCAAAGAATATAAATATTGAGAAAATTATAATGGAAATTGTGAAATTGCTCTTCATGAACATTGCATTGCTTTCTGTTTGCTACCCTGAGTAAAACTTATTAATGCTGGTTCATTATAAAGTCATTTATAAATAGTTGGATAGTAGAATTGATTAGTCAGCAAAGGCTAATTGCATAGAAGAGAGAAAAAGAAAACCAGTATCATCATCATCACCAACAGGCAGAATTCTGTGGCTGGCACGACCCCCAGGTCATTGCACTCTTTCACTGTCCAGCGGTCAGTATGGAGGGCAGAGCTCTGCTTCATCCAGATGTTCTGAAACAAGAATCTTTGCATGTTTAGCGTTCCTATACTTAGCCACTGAAGAGAAAGTTAGGACAGAGCTGAGCACAGAGGGTTTTACTGACCAAGAGAGCAGGCTATAGACTTCACTTCTAATCACCTTCCCAGAACTTGGTCACAGAGCCTCAGCTCAACCAGGGAGAGACTGTGAAATGCATTTAACTGTGTCTAGGAGCAAAGGAAGCTAGGTTCACACGCAGCAGCATCTCTGGCACCTGGGACACGTGAGCCTTTGTCTCCCTAGTCTCTCTATGAGTGATGCATTGCTTGTTAACCACTCACAGTTTCTCCACGGTCCCTTGCCCCACAGTCCACTCATGCTCCTGAAGCTGAGATCCCTCCTCTTGGTATACAGCCCTCTTCCTCACTTTGAGTTCAGCAGGAAGCAGTGAATGATAAGTGGCTACCTACAGTGCTAGACACTTCCCCACTGGGCTTTACAAGACAGATGGGTCAACCCTAGCCCAGCAATCACAGGTGAAAATGGCAGGATATTAGCCTGGCAGAGAGTGCTAGGGTGGCCCTCTAACCTGCTGTGAAAACCAGTTGTGCCTATAGCTCCACAGTGACTAGAAAGCTGCTCAGGAGGATTGAGACTGTAAGAGGAGGTAGTGCCTAGCTCTCTGCTGCATGTGACTGGGCAGGAGATGCTCCTTGGCACGTGTGTTGATTCTGGGAATCAAGAGGAGTGAGGCAGAGGAAGGGCTAGAAGATGCTTTGGCAGAAGGTGTCTGTTCTTCCCGCCTTCTATGTTTTCCTACGTTATTAACAAAAACTAGAGAAAAATAGTTATTCAGTGATGAGAGTAACAAGAAGTATTCTACAGACTCCCAATCAGGCCAGAGTGTTGTGCCAATCCAAGGCTAAGAGTCGTCACTCAGACACTGGCCACATGTGGCAACTGCCCATCCTCTCTCCTGCCATTCTTAGGTTGGATTCTGGAGAATGGTAAGCTTTGGTGAAAACAGCATCTGACATGGCTGTCTGTTTTGCTGTGGTCCCCAGGCACAGTGGTGGTCTTTATAATAATCTATATAATAATCTATATAATAATCTGTTATATAATCTATATATAATCTATATTATCTATATAATAATCTGTTCCAGGCAGGTGCTTTACATACATTTCCTCATTGTAGCAATTGAGATGCTCTCCATTACAAAGAATAGGAAGTCCAGATCTAAATGATATCAGATACCTGGAAAGCCAAAAAGATACAGAATGTAGGATTCTTTTAACTAAAACGCCCAGATCTGAGGCAGTTTCAAAGTCACCCTACAGGTAAAGTTTGATTAAGGTTCTAGGGTTCACTTTGTCTGTATTTCCTCATCTCTGTGCCTATGTATGTATCAATTTCAGATTAGTAGATATGGCTGAGCTGCTCCAAGTCTCCAAGTTATATACTACAACTCCCAGAAAGAATATCTCTTCTGTTTACTTTCCGCTAGTAGCTAATCCAGAACTACTCAAGAAAGCACTCTTATCATGGCCTCAGCCAAGTCTTCTCCACCAGTTCTCAAAAGAGGCCTTGTGATGGGGAGAATGGCCTTCATTGTTATCCTTGGGCATGTATCCTGAACCAGTCTTGTGGCAGGAAATTTGCAGGAGCCTGTTTGAACAGAGCCAATCAAGGCTCATCCTTAGAAATGGAACTATTTCCTCCCATGTAAACGTCATGCCATGTAAACTTCATCCTTGGAAATGGAACTAATTCCTCCCATGTAAACTTCGTGCCAAGGTTTATGCAGAATGTACAGAAACTAATCACAGTATCCCAGTCTTAGGCTACTTCAGGGTAGTCAAGTATTCCTGTCCTAATACATATAAGGAAACTGAGGCTCCAAGATGATAGACAACTCCCAATGTCATCAAAGGTCCAGCTCCACACAAAGTCTGTCTGAATGTAAGTCCACGCTCTTCCCACGCCACATGGCCATGTGCTCATTCACCCAACATTTATGGTGCATAAGCTTACTGGTAGATTTCCCTGAGTTCTACAGCATAATAAAATATGAATTCTCTATGGCTCGGTAAGGACCAGCTCCTCTTCTGCCAACTGGTAGTGTTTTGTGGCATAAGTATCATGGCTGAATCCATGACATGAGATTTTCTAAACAAGTAAAAAAGTCTTTATATCAGAGGAGGAAAATGTTCCATTGATTGATCGCTATGCCCGAGGAGGGGGTGATTATTCATTGCTTTGAAGAGCCACAGAGTTATGTCTAATGCTGGAAAATCAATTTGTCTCTTCCCAGTAGCTAAAAGCCAGGCAGCTCCTCTTAGCGTAGATTAGGTGGACATAAGAGATGTGCTTGTGGTTACTATGTCAAGCCTGACAAAGTAAAACAAACCTCAGAACTCCAGGAGAAATGAATTATAAATACAGGAGCCCAGAAGAGCTGGTGTGTTTGGCAGAGAGCCCCCTTAGTCCTCCCACAAGTGTTTGTCACACACAAAAAGCTTTCACCAGGGTCTGACAGACTATAGGTTGGACCAGTATTTAAGGGCAAGATGACTTCTCTACAGAGGCTTTCCTATGTGCTGTCCCAAGACCTTTCCCCATTTCAGTCTCTTCTACTATGTATGTTCTAGAAAGTTCGTCAGAAAAAATTGCAAATGAGAAAGTAGGAGAGACCATGTCTCTGTCCTGTGAACTGTTCTAAGTGACATTACAGAAGACTCCTCTGGTGGACACTGACACCGAGGTTCTCTCACTCCCCCAACCCCCTTTCTGCTTTCCAGAAATGAACCGGCACCACTACGCCTTGTACGTGCACAACTGCCGCCTTGTCTTCCTCTTGCGGAAGGACTTTGACCAGGCAGACACCTTTCGTCCGGCAGAGTTCCACTGGAAGCTGGACCAGGTAAGGCTCCCAGGCATGCCTGCCTCTCCTCTCACCTGCACAGGGATGATCAGTTTGCTCTTAGGGTGATGACAAGAGGTAGACCCCCTCAGTTGCTGGGTTTTTGAAGTCAGCTCAGAAAGGCACACAGCATCTTAGGTCAGGATAGAAACTGCATCCTGAAAGCCAGTAGGAGGGAGGATGGCCACACTTGCTAGCTGAGACAGGCGGACAATGACGCGGGCTCCTGCACCTGCTCTGTTCGCTCTGCACTGAGCCCATGGGAGGCTGTCTTTCCTGACCCCAGCAGGCCCAGCTGGTGATCTTTGTGGACACATCTTTGTATCAGCGACCCTGTGTCTTCACTTCGATGCTCTGCTTCATCCTTTGGGTGACAGGAGATTGAGAGCAGGGTTCTGAGAACTTTGAAGTGAACGGTGAATGACACAGAGCACCGTGAGCAGTGTCCGCTTTTTTCTGGAGTGGAAAATCTGACTCACTGGAACTTTATGGCTTGATCACAGGGGACGGCTGGGACATCACACTTCTCAGTGACAAACCATGTGTCTGGTTTGAATGCAGAGCTTTGAAGTGTGTGTTCCTGCGGGTTGGGCAGCACCAAGACTGTGAGAGAATGTTCACTTCTCTGGGGCTCTGCACAACAAGGAAAAGACTGTGGCGGGACTCATAGGGCCGTCACATAGAGGCCAAAGTGGGCAATTGAAACCATTTTCAATCAGCGAAAGGGAGAGAGTGTCAGCAGCCAGAGGTGGGCTGTAGCTTAAATAAACAGATGATGCTCAGCCCCCACTGTCTCATGATGCAGTCTCTTCTTGTTTTGTTCTGCTGCGCCTTTATCCCAAGCTAGGTGCTTCTGGGACCTCAGACTCCTCTTTACCCTTCCAAACCCACTGTGTGTATTGTCACCTCGTCCTTTCTGGGACTGAATGTTTCCTAATCTTGTGCTTTCTGTCTCCTTTTTGCTTTGCCTCTTCTCCGACCTTTCCTAAGCCCCTGACCCCTGGAGGAGCTGACTGTAGAGAGAACTTAGTCATATTAAGATGTGAATTACTGATCCTCATAGAAGCTCACATATATGTGCTTTGAAACCAAGATTCATTAGCCCTGGGAATCCCCACTGATAGGCCTTCAGCAGTATGAGAAGACTAAGGGTGCCTTGCTCAGGGGAAGTTTGGGGAGCCAGTGGCAGCTCGCTGACCTGCTCTCAGACATTGCCACTCTGCTGGATCCTGGGATGCTGAAAAGATGGCATATGCATTAGTCTGTGTTTCTTTGAGTTACGAATTCTGGGTCTTGAAGGAATGGTAAAATCCTGACATTGTTTATATGATTTCTCGGCAACCTCACAGCTATGTCCTAAAGTGCCAGATGGCTTTTATGGGATGTTTTAAAATATATAATACAAATTGTAGTGAATTAAAATAAATTCCATATTGTGAGGGGTTCTTTAATAAGAACATTGCCATACTGGTAGAGATAATTACGGATACCCTAAGGCACTTTTTTTGAGATAGGATTGAGAAGCAAAGATACAGGCAAATGAAGTTGCAGAGTTTGAAATTAAAATCAGCCCAAGAAGGAATTCTGGGTATATAAATAAATATATAGTGAATGCCGCAATTCTGAAATGTGATCCTGAAGTGGTGAATCTCAGGACGAGCTGAAAGTCACCAAACATCTTCCAAGTTACCCTGGTCCCACTGATGTCCCCTTTGGAGCCTACTCTGCATCAGGCATGTTGCATGTGGGAGACCCTTCCCAGCTCTGGACAGGCCTTCCATGGGTGCTACAAGGCAGGAGACCTCAGCCCAGTGGCTGGCCCAGGGACTCCAGCAAGCCATGGGCAGCAACTGCCCTTCCTATCATACTACTCCCATGGTGAGCATGCCTATTCAAATTGTAAAATCTATTAATTCATAGATAATTGTCCCGATAATATGCAAACTCTTTGTAGTGTTGATGAAACCCTTCAACACCGTCAGTCTTTTGCTTTGTATAAACTCTCTGTCCTCATCTTACCCAATACAGGCCACTTAAGGGAGAGAAACCTACTCTCACATGATTGAGGAGGTTGGGAAGTGCCAGGTCAGCGTGCCTGTTGATGCCTGTCCTGGTGACAGCTGTTTTCCTGGTTGCAGAAGACTTTCTTCACTCTCTTTGTCCCATTGCAGAAAGAAGCAGCTCTCCGGTGTCTGATTCACTTACAGGGAACCAGCCCTGCCATGTGGTCTCCCTTGTGATCTCATTTAGCTTCAGTTGCTGCTGAAGGTCCTGTCTCCAAGTATGCTGGGGGTTAGGGGTCAAACAGTAAGTCTGGGGAGGACATAATTCAGTCCACAGCATTTCTATGCTAAAGACATGAATATTCTGAAAGCAGAAAAGACTAGCTGTTGTCAGACACCCCAGCTCACATGAACAGTTGCCAAGTGAAGGAAGGAAGCCAGGAAGCCCTTGTGAGGTGAGGAGGGTGGAAGAACTCCCAGCAACGCTCCCTGCTAGCAACCTAAGGGTGTCTATAGCCCAGCCCACAGAGCCACCTTCCCCCCGACTCAGCTCTCCATGTAGTCAGATCTTACCAAGACTTTTTTATGCTTGTAAACTACTTCATGCCTAGAAGATACATACCAGATAAAGCCTTTCCCTCAAGAACCATCTGGAACAACTCCTGGACTGGGGGAGTCACCTCTCCCCTCACTCATAGGCTCCTTGAGGAACTCCATGGGACTCTTCCTGCCCTGCTGGCACCCAGCTGTCCTGCCTATCTGGTGACTTTGTGCTGAGCGCCTGGGAACAGAGTGGTATTTTACTCTCTCCCAGCATGTAGAGTAGTTCTGAGCATGTAGATGGTGCCCAGTACATGTCTGCATAACAGTGAAAAGACATGACAATAAAATGAAGACACACAGAGAGGCCATGGAGGAGGGAGGAAGAGAGGGGCAGAAAAAAAGACCCAGAGATCTTTCTGAAACCCTCTGGTGATTAACTGAGCATTTGATTCATTTCAATGAGCATTTAAAAAATTCTAAATTTTTGTTGTCTTTAATTCTCTCAGTCTCAAACACTGTTCATCTTTCCTCTTGATAGCTCATTTCAAACATCCAGCTGGACTTACCAGCAGTGGGTCCACAGCTGGACTTTGCCAAAAAGAACTCAAACTGGTCTAATGTGTTGTATGTAGCTAAACTCCTGGTCTACCTCAGAAATTCCAAAAGCACCTTATCTGCACTAACGTCCAGTGGGGTTCCTTTATTTCTGCACTAAGCAGCTTATTCTATGAACTGTGCTGGGTTCCCAAGACCAGCAGCTGAAACAGAAGCCTCTGCTCTCTAGAAGTTTCCTTGATCATGGATCAGTAAAGACGGTTTACAGTCTCATGTAGTACGTGCTGGGACAGAAAGCAGAGCACATGGTGGGAAGCCCACGCAGGGTCATCTGATGTGGGCTTGGTGATAAGAATCTTGGAAAGTCCATAGGGAGAACATCACACTGGAGCAGAGAGCTCCATACCAAGAGTCAGGCATCCACGATAACTGACAGTGGGCAGGACCGGAGTGTTAGATTCAAGAATGGAGGTGAAGGCAGGAATCAAGTCCAAGTGGAATTTTATATCATGAACAGGCCACAGTTTGATCAAAGCATCTGTTATTCAATAGAAGACCATGGCTGTTAGCTATGGGCAAACCTGCAGAGTCTGGCATGACACACCATCACATCACATTTAAGCAGTGTAACTCTGGCCAGGCCATTTGGTGGGGCTAGAGGCAGGGACTATAGAGGCAGTCTCCCTCATTCCTGTCTTCATAGCCCTGCCAGGACCCAACAGTAGAAAATACATTGGAAGAGCTGGATCCTCACTGCTGGCATTGAAATTAGTCCATTACATATAAGGTGATTTCACATAGCTCTTCAGGGATAGCCATGAATGGAGCTGTTGCTCGTGCCACAGAGGAGCCATAGGCTTCCTCCCCTGTGCCTCACACCCACACCTCAGAAGGCTTTTGACAAGGTGCATGGATGGGGCATGTAAGTCTTTAACCACGCAGCCCCAGGAAATGCCTCTGAGAATCTAGTGAGTCTCACTGAAGTGATCCTAACAGTGAGGAGAATGTCACTTTAATAGGATTTTTACTTACGGTTTACTAATGCAAATCCCTCAAGCCTGCAGTTAGTCATGTGCAAACCCAAACAAAAACTCCCAGCACACAGTGGAAAAGTTCTTGATCCATGGACCCTCCTGGCTTTAATATTATTTGGATGTGGCTGATTCAGTGTTGTAAATTCTAATCACCTTCCCTTTGGACTTGTTGGAATTAGAATAGAAGCACGCTGGTATTCTCTAGAAGTTCCTACTTTGTAGAGGTTGTACCTTGAGTGATGGCCTCAACAGAGCAGCACAGGTGCCCTCAGTGCATGTGAGGAAACTAATGTAGCCATGGAGAACTGCACAGTCCATAAGAGGCGAATTTGGACTCATTTGGTTAACCATTGTCTTGTCTGTGCATCAGGGATAGAGAGATGAAGGGCATGGCTCTCTCTGGAGAAACACAGTGATCTGCCCATTCGTGCCCAGTTAGTATACCCTGTCTGCCTTCCCCTGCAGGACTCTAAGACTCTAATAATTGCAGACTACTGGGAGAAGGAGCAAGGACTAGAGATACTTGGCCAGGTGAAGACAGGTTCCTGGGTGGGTGAATTAAAAATTCATTTCAATGTCATACAAAAACCCAAGCCAAACAAAAGCTGTACTTTGAATTGTCTGGAATCTGGAAATCAGATTGTTATGCAAACCATCCCATTTTAAAAAATATTTCCTCATTTTAAAAAATATATATAATCAGGCAGCCGGGTGTGGTGGCACATGTCTTTAATCCCAGCACTCAGGAGGCAGAGGTAGGCAGATCTCTGTTAGATTGAGGCCAACCTGGTCTACATAGTGAGTTCCAGGCCAGGTAGAGCTACAGGGAGATATTGTCTCAAAAAATGTATTCCATTATTTCAAA